GATATAATATTTTAATATCATAATTTTTTTTTTCCACTTGATTGTTCTTGATTTAAGTGATAATAGTTTATATAAAGTTTATATAAACAGGTTCAATTAGATTATATTAATTGTATTAATTATCAATCAACTGCAATGATTGTTCAAGAGTGAAAAATCTCAACTAACAAATTCAATTTAATATACACTACAAATTAATTTATATTCGATCAAACGAAAGCAGGTACATGCATCATATTTTTAATGTACATTTTCAGATACTTCTTCTCCTTTATTTTCATATTTTTATTAAAATTTTAATACCTTGGTGTCAGATTCCAATTACCATTTATGACATTTTTTTTTCCACCATTTCCTCCCACGTTTCAAAATTTTAATAATTTCTCTAAACATTCAAACTCCAAACTAAATTAAATCAATGTAAAACTTCTGTTCCACAGGTCCTTTGTCTATTTCTTGTAATTTCCATCGAATTGGCAGAAAATTCAAGAAGGATCAAATTTTCAAATTGATAATAAGAGAAAGCGAGGAGTAAATGATTTTGTTCGAATATTAACGTCCTCAAGTTTTCACGATCAGCATTTAATTTCAGCAGAAATAAACATATGTTTCAAATGGAAAGATGTGCAAGATACAGTTCCACGACAAAGATGCAACGAGTGAAACGATTACAAACACGTTACCGATAAGCTCACAGGCAAAGATAATAATTTTCGATCAAGGGAATTACAGCGCCAGTGGACAAATAATCGCTTTGCGCTACCGCTATGTAAATTGATAATAATAATGATCCTGTTATTTGCCACATGCAAATTCTAGATACATACTCACTAATTTCCTTTGACTGTAACCGAGCATGTAGTGACTTCTTATTGCTCTTAAACTTCTTTGATTCAAGACATGAACTTTTCGGTAATTGAAATATAAATTTCCAATAATTTTACTTGCATCCCTCTATACTCTAATTCATTTATCGTCTTATGGTTTATTTTTACAAATTATCACTCCTCCGTAAAGTAATTTTTCGAGAGATGCTTCGAGCTCGTTGAGAGATGCATTTTGAAATGGACCATTAATTTTCTTACGATATCTTAGATATCATTGCCTGATTTGATAACTTTTATATTTTAGATATTAGTTAAATATTTATCTGATTATACATTCAACTTTATATTTAAATTTCGTTTTTCATCTTCGTGAAATTTTGCTAATAGTCCAAATAATAACATTGTAAATGTTCATATTTTCCCTCTGGAAATATTCATCCAAGTATATTTCAATACGCTTAGAATTTTGTAGCTTCTGCAAAACGAAACAGGTCGCTGTGTGCAATTGTTCATCATTCAAACAGTGTACGGTATTAACCTTTCAAATCGAATAATACCATTCAAGGAGATTCTGTTGAATGTTTCATAATGTTGCGTTCAATATTCAGCTGCAAATCTATGGGATATTATCTTACACCACTGTTTCTATCATTATTTTATTTTTGCTATTTCTATCGGTTTATCAACAGCTCTACATTTTCAACATTACATTATAACATTTTGTTGTATTAATATTCCGTTTCAGAAAATATTAAAATGATCGAAACGTGACTGGAATGACTTTCTATAATATTTTGCTCAAAACTGCTAGATATAGAGTCTTCTCTCTAAGCATTCTCAATTTCATCTCTACTATTTTAGATGAATTTCTTTAAATAATCCCTTACAATCTGCAAAATTGTGTCCATTAATTTCGTCAAAGAACTTATGTTAGTTTCAACGATTAATCTTGCTGATGGCCTGTGTCGTTGCTCTTCAAGATGTCGCCTACATTTATCTTTTTGATAAAAAATGATCGAACATTATTCTATAAAATATTACCATCGTGATTCTTCTAGACTATTTTATTGATCAGATTAATTACAAGATCAGGAATTATAATTTTAATATTTAACTCCGTTAAGAAATCTATTTCTTAAGAATCTTTTTCATCAAACATTTTTATATGAAGATGTAAACTGTCAGTGATCAATTTTATCCTCAATTCTTTATAATTGCAATTTATTAATAATATTAATTAATATATCTATATTAATTTATTAGTACAACAATTAGATATAATTATTAACATTAACTTCAAGAAACCATTCGAGAATATGAGAAATCTTCCGTTATCACAAAGTGATCGATATCATCGTCAAAAGACATCTATCAAAAATATTTTTTACAGCTTTCCAAACAATCCACGAAAAATGTGCAATTACAGAAATCATGTTTATGAAGGTATAAACTATCACCG